CACATAATAATTTCTACAATGGTAAATCACGTCATATAAGAAGACGACATAAAACCATTAAAAGCTTGATCACAACTAGAGTAATCTCAATAGATTACATAAAATCAGCTGATAATCTAGCAGATCTATTTATCAAGGGTCTCGTTTGTGATCAAGTTCTAATATCATCGAAGGGAATAGATCCCAAGATGTTAGGTTCAAAAGGGAAAACTAAGTCAAATAAAATCTAACCCACTGAAAGAGTTATTGTCTTCACCTAGTTTCTCAGATGATAAACAGTGCTTACATACAATGCTCATTGTATATCTACAAGGATAAACATATATTTTAATGATAAGACCATAGCTTTGATATATCAGTTGAGTGTTCAAAACACTTCTTAAAACAAAGACTACTAACAAATCACCTAGTGAGTGTGAAATGAGGCCGTTTCTAGGAGAATGAAAAACAGGTTGTGTTCTCCAAGTTCACTCATGATTAACCAGGTAAGTTCAAGGCCACAATGAACACAATAGAGAACTAAGTTCTACAAGAAAATGAAATTGGGTTGTATATGTTGTCTCGGTTTACATAAAAATACAGGTGGTTCAAGACATCATGTTCATCTCCTGGCCAAGTAAACCCGACAGATATTAGCATTGAGTGGTTCAAGGTTGAAACACAGTACCATCTCAAATACAGTGATTTTCGTTTATACTCGAGAAAGTCTGTGTAGTCTAGTCAAGTCGCGTCTAGTCTAGTCAAATCTATTTTATCGAGTCAGTCCGGTCTTCGTATGTCTAGAGTTATTTCTATTCATGTGGGGGATTGTTGGAACAAATTTAATCAAATCCCAATGGCTTAGTAATTTGGAAAAGTGTGAAAAGAAATAAGAGATTATACACTTAGTGTATTAGAGGAGAGAAGATATTTTTTGGCTCAAGATTGTTTAAAATTGCTGGTCAACCAAGCAATTTAATTCAATATTGATTGTCTCTCCTTTATTCACAATTGACTAAGAATCAATTTGAATTTTTAACCTCCACATCTCTTCGTTATTGCCTATATTTATGGGGCAAAACTATGAGACTATATAAAAAGGTTTTTGTCTTTCTTATTTTGGCTCATGTACGTTCTCATCTTTACACAGAGAAAAAACTCACACTACACAGCAATCTCTCTCTTGCTTTAGTCTTTTTTCAAAGTAAGTCCGAGAGTATATCGTAGAACGATCAGTTCGTCGATTTTATAGTCAGGTGCTGCGATTATATTTTCAAGTGGTTGTATCCTGAGATTTATTATCTCATAAACCACCAGTCCACCACACTTCGGGAGAAATTTCGGATTAAAGAAAGAGTCATACTCATCTACACTTCTCGTATTTTTTCCTTAATCGTATTTTCAAAACGTTTTTTATCTGAAAATCTTCTCTATTTTTTTTTACAATATTTGTCTCCATATTTTACACTTACATCCTCCAAGACCGGTTTCTGGTTGTTGCATCGGATGCTGCATCCCGTCATTGTTGATACCCATTGGTCTAATCCCCATGTCTCCTTGCATAGTTAGCTGATTTATATGCTGCTGCTGTGGATCCTGAAGCTGGTGGGAGCTACCAAACTGCAAAAGACCTCTTAGAAGGAAAATATTGGAGGGAATGCATTTAGAAATCTAGGTAAATAACTTACTCAGATAAGAACTAATGTACTAACATATGAGAGAGACCATGAACACACTCTTTTCAACGTCTTTAGTTCTGTCTTGGTTTCTCTATAGTATCTCTTTTTAGTTCTCTTCTGACTATGGGAAAACATAATTGTCAATTGTCAATCCAAATGATAAAACAAAAAGAGTATAATCAGTTGGCAAAATTAAGTATTGATCATATATGCATCTTCATCTCTGTTTGCCTCTCCTTTCAACCCGGGATTCTCCATTCTCTTTTAATAACAAATCTTCATGTTTTTGCAGCATTATATTTTAGCAAGAGATCTATGAAAAATACCATGCACAAAACAGAACTCTATATTCAATGACTTATGTACAAAACACAACTCTAAATGATGTCTAAACAAATATTACAACATAGTATAATTTAGTTTTCATAACCTACTTGAAGCAAATTTCTAAACTACTGATGTTAACTAAAAACAGAAAAAAAAATAGCATATCAGAAATATCGAGATGGATAATGAATGGTTTGGGGGATAAAATTATTAGAAGTATCCAATAGTTTTGGTTTTCTCACTAACAATTTTACGGTCCCAAGTTTTGTACAGCAAACTTCGTCGTCTCACATGACTGGTACAAACTCTAAGTGCATATCATCAAAACAATTTTCTAGTTTAATGTTTGATTGATCGACCAATACGTATATTCATTAAACTATCAAAATCAGCCTATGTGGCACTCCTAAAAGGCCTGGAATTGTTCTCGTTTTATATAAAGGAGATTTCATTCCTGCAAACCACTGCGTGTACCAATGATGGAGCTAGAAATTTTTTTTATTGAGGGCATAAATATTAAACATAAAAAATTAAATAAATAAATATTCAAAATATCCTATTTAAAAATAAAAATAGTGTATAAATGTTATTAAAACCACCATACAAGCATATTTTACGTTGAGCCATGGTTTGGAATCTCTTCATCACTGTTTCATTTGTAACCGATCCAAACAACTCTTTCTCAATAAAACAAACAAGACAATCACTTAGAAATTGATCTCTAATTCGATTGTGAGAGGTTGTCTTCACAAAATTCATTGCAGTGAAACATCTCTCAAACGTTGTTGTAGCAACTGGTAAAATCAATGCCAATTTCAATAGTATATAAACAAGAGGATGTGCAGAATGTTTTTGTGTTTCCACCATCAGACGTGAAAGATCTCCAAGACTTTTCAAATTAGTAAATCGTTTATCCTCTTTTATATTGTCATTGTAGATGTTAAATTGCTGCTGAAGAGAAACAATTCAACAGAAGTGAAATCATCTGGATAGAACTCAACCAATTTCATCAACTTATCTTTATCAAACTGCTTGAACAAACTTGTGGGACTTAAAGAAACCATGCAAATAAGGAGTTGAGTGTTTACTTCAGTAAAATGATCATTGAACTCTTGAAGCTGCAAATCCAGAACAAAATTAAAACAACTGATCTTGTAATGATGTAAATTGGTTATGTTGGTTTTCTTTCTTGGCCTTCTGAAATCGACAAACTTATCTTCCATCATGATCATGTCAATGTCATGTTTCTTACAAAAAAAACAAAAAAACTTTAACCATCAGTGAGTCCCATCCATCATCTCTAAACTTATGTAGTTCTAGGTTCGTAGATTCGACCAACGAAACAGCATTGAAAATGTCTTGATTTATTGTTTGCAAAGTCATGGATAAATTATCAGTTAGCCCCAAGATATGCAACATTAAATGCATATAGAACACACAATCAAATGTGTGCAAGTAATTAGCAAAACCATATGCTTGACGTTTTTTCGAGTCTTCAATGCCTTCAGTTTTAATAAATTCAAGCACCTTAATAACTATTAAAAATAACTTGACCAAGCGCAACAATGTCTTATGATTAGAACCCCAACGAGTAGCTGCTGGCTTTGGAAGAAAACGATCTTGATTCTTCCCTTTCCCTGTGCTAGTTTCACCATCATTGATTCTTTTTCAATTTCTTTTCGGTATATTTCTTGAAACTTATCTTTTCGTTTGCACGAAACTCCAACAACATTCAATACTGTAGATATCATATCAAAAAAATCACCAACTTCAAAATGTTTCTTTGCAATTGCCACTACAAGCAACTGAAGTTGATGAGCAAAGCAATGAACATAATAGCCTGAACTGTTTTCCCTTAGAATTAAAAACCGAAGACCATTAAATTCATCTTTCATGTTACTCGCTCCATCATAACCTTGACCTCTTATATTTTTCAAGCTCAGTCCATACTTAGCAAACAAATCATCTATAGCATGCTTGAAAGTCAAGGAAGATTTTCTCTTACATGAACAACACCAATAAATCTTTCTTTGATTGTTCCTATCTTATTGTGATTTGCTTATGTCGACTTCTCGGCAAATTCAGAGTATTTTGTTTATGTGTATTCTTTAAAAAGTTTTGCTTATGTATCAAAATTTACTTAAACAAACCGATTTTTTTTTCATACTAACCAGAATCAAAAAAGCCGACACTAGTTTATGTGTCCGATTTACTAAAAAGGAATCAAATTTCATTTAAACAAACTGAAATCGATAAAATGTCCAATTTACTTAAAATTGCATAGTTTGATCTCTTTGGTTTTGTTTAAAGATCAAACTGTATGTGTTCTACAGATTTTTGTGTTGATTTAAGCTTGAAGTTAACATTCTAGAAGCTAGGATTTCTCCTATTAGGATTAGAATTATGTTTAGGAGTTATCTAAACATCTTTAGGAGTTATCTATAGAAAAAAGAAATATATAATCTTATTAGGAAAAGGTTTTATTCTATATATAAGGAGATGCAAAAGTGTTGCATAACTTATGAGTTTAAGGTTTTTGAGAGCTTAAGTTTTGAGAGATTCTCTTAAGCAATAAAGAGAGTTATTCTTTATATTGAGTTCTTAATTTATCTTGAGTTCTATAACTTCTATAATTGGTATCAGAGCTTAGAAGAAAAACGATCTAAGACAAACGATTATCAAGACATGGGAGACATCGTACAAAGCCCTAACACACGACCAAAGGAACCGAGTATATCCTCCATTCAATGTCCTATGCTAAGTCCGACTAACTATACAGTTTGGGCCATGAGAATGAGGGTTTTACTTAAAGTGCACAAGGTTTAGGATATCATTGAGACAGGATCAACCGATGCAGAAAAGAATGATGTAGCAACAGCGTTATTGTTTCAATCGATTCCCGAAACACTTGTGCTTCAGGTCGGAGAACTTGAAACAGCAAAGAAAGTATGGGAGTCTATTAAGACGAGGTATGTCTGAGCAGAGAGAGTCAAAGAGGCGAGGTTACAGACATTAATGACCGAGTTTGATCGAATCACAATGAAAGAAACCGAGACTATCGATGATTTTGGAGGAAAACTATCAGAAATTGCATCAAAGTCATCTGCCTTAGGAGCAAGCATTGAAGAATCAAAACTTGTCAAAACGTTTCTTAAAAGCCTTCCTCGCAAGAAGTATATCCACATAGTAGCCTCGCTAGAACAGGTACTCGACCTAAACACCACCACGTTCGAAGACATCATCGGGAGATTAAAAGCTTATGAAGAGCGTATTCAAGACGATGAGAATACGCAAGAGGATCAAAGCAAGCTTCTGTACGCTAATTATGATACACAATCAAACCGAGATTACAACGGGGAGAACAGAGGAAGAGGTCGTGGAGGAAGGTTCTACAGCAGAGGGAGAGGACGCGGAAGGACAAACGGAACAAGGGATCTATCCAAGATCACATGTTACTGATGTGACAAGACAGGTCACTTCGCCTCAAATTGTCCTGATCGCTTACTCAAGTTACAAGAAGCCCAAGAGGATGGAACCGATGACACCCAAGAAGCAGACGAGCTCATGATGCATGAGGTTGTGTACCTAAACGAGGGAAAAATAGTACCAAGTAATTACGAAGCAAGCACAAACAATGAAAATATTGGGTACCTTGATAACGGAGCAAGCAACCACATGACCGGAGATAGGCGATATTTCTCCAAGATTGATACCTCCATTACCGGAAAAGTAAGATTCAGTGATGATTCACGGATAGATATCAAAGGAAAAGGTTCTATAGATTTCACTGACAGGAATAGCGAGTCAAGAACAATGACTGATGTTTATTTCATCCCGGATTTGAGAAGTAACATCATCAGCCTTGGGCAGGCTACTGAATCAGGGTGTTACGTGAGAATGAAGGGAGAATATCTAACTATCCAGAGTGCCACAAGATGATAATAGAGACAGTTCGACAAAAGCAGCCCATACTACTTAAGTTAAACCGCTTTTAAAATCAAGCCTCTCGACCAAGACCTAAGGCTTTTCAACCCGTATCTTAGTCTTGAGTTGTTTCAGCTTGGACTAGCTTATACCACTAACACAAGCCGAGTTTTATTTTTAAAACATACTTTATATTATTAAACTTGAAAATATTGTCTTACAAAACGATTATAGCGAAACGGCCATGGCCTAGTACCCAAAAGATACTATGTATATACGTGAAACCTTATTTTGCAAAAGCCAAGCCAAAACTACTCCGGCCTCCTACCGTTCCGCCTTTCTCGAGCTATTCCCGACTACTGGTCACCTGCAAAACAAATGAGTCATGAGTATTCTAGCAATACTCAGTGAGCTCCGGGGGTACTAAACATACATTAGTTCCCAATCCCCACACAAACAATCACACAATCAATCATAATGCATCATTGTATGCACAAGCGGAAGCAATCTAAGACATAAGTCCTTATACTGTATGTCAAACAATCTCGTTTCCTAATGCGAGGCCTCTAAATGCATCGGCCACTCCCCTAGTTGCAACGATCCCGCAAATCACCACACAGGATCATTTTGGTGACCTTACACCGATCTATTGACATACCGTCACATAGCATCGGACCGCCTTACTGGCAGCACTCGGCCAAGGGAGCTACCCTTCGACCCTCTGAGTCTTCCTACCTCTGTGGCCTTCTCCACAAAGATAAGGTACGTGGACGTGCCGACTTTATCTACTCTAAGAACGTATAAATCCCACCTTGATTTATACTTCCTAGATGCATCATCAAATAACACACAAACAAATTAAATATGACATGCAAAAGGTCCTTTACTTGCATTCATCATTTAATTTACCAAGTATCATTTCTATCCGGTTTTCCTTAAAACCAGAGAAAATAATACGTCAAACCTTTCGCCGAGCACATCACCAGACCAGAATAACACCGCCCTGGTTATTCTTCCGGCCAAACCTGCATGTTAGCCTAATAACATACACAAAACCGGAACTCACCCTTAACGCAGGTCCAGCACCGATCTTAACCCCTCTTGTTCCTAACTCCGGTATTCCTCTAGATCTAAAACGATATAGATCTAATGAATATCCAGCCTAGGACAAGATTAAAACGAAAAGGGTTTACTCTACGGCTTACCGACCGTTCGCTAAGCTAGCACCGCGCGTCCACTTCCCGTAAGCAGAATCCTATCGCCAAATACCCAAACTCTCTCCTTTCTCTCACTACTTTCTCTCTCAAGAATTCTCAGGTTTTTGAGATGAATTTCTTTAGCTTAAGGGAGGGGTATTTATAGGTTCAGGGAGGTTATGCATGTTTGCCACATGCTAAACACTTGTCAGAATTTCTTAAACCTTAGTCACCAGACCTAACACTAATCACTCTTAATCCTGCGCCAAATGTGTGGACAGAAACCAGCCACATCTGTTCTTATCCGCACATAACCTCCATCAGATTTCCGCATTTGCTCATGCTTCCTCGGCCAGGAACAGATTCCTCGGCGAAAATCTAATTCTCTCGGCAGAAATTTTATTCCCTCGGCTAAATCCTTTCTTGCCCGACCAAAATTGCTTCTCTCGGCAGAATCTAGCTGTCTTGGTCCGTTCCCGACTAAGCACTTAACCGCGGTCGCTTGTCCGAGCTTACTCAATGACCGGGTTGTTACATTCTCCCCCCCTTAAAAGAATTCGTCCCCGAATTCTAACTAAGAGTGTGAGGGTTCTCCTTGCTCCATTACTATGCTTCTCTCGAAGTATTCTGGATGCTCCTCTCGGAATCGCTCCTCATCTTCCCACGTTATCACTTGTCTATTATGTCTTCCCCAAAACACTTGAACTTGTGGGATGGTGCGATTCTTAAGCACTCGTTCCCGTCGCTCCCCTATCTTGATAAATCCTTCAGGATAGGTAAGGTTTGGCCTTAATCCTTCGATAGGCTCCGTCATTATTGTATTCGGGTCCGGTACATGTTTTCGCAGTATGGACACATGGAACACCGGATGCAGGTGCATATCTTCTGGAATTTCTAACCTATATGCCACCTCTCCAACCTTTCCTAGAATACGATATGGACCAATATATCTGGTTGCGAGCTTACTGACCTTTCCAAAACGATCCTTTCCTTTGTGTGCTGCAACCTTCAGATATACGAGATCTCCTATCTCGAATATCACCTCCCTTCGGTGTTGATCGGCATACTTCTTTTGCCGGTCTTGGGCCTTCCTCATGTTGTCTTGCACAACTTGTATAATTTCGATGGATTGGTCTACCATCTCTGGCCCAAATATTCGTCTTTCTCCCACCTCCGTCCAACACAACGGCGTACGACATGGTCTTCCATAAAGTACTTCAAATGGAGACATGTCGATACTTACGTGGAAGCTATTGTTGTAGGAGAATTCTTCCAACGGTAAGTAGTCCTCCCATATCCCAGCCCATTCTAGGATACACGCCCTCAGTATATCTTCAATGGTTCTGATCGTTCTCTCAGTCTGTCCATCTGTCTCTGGATGAAACGCCGTACTCATATTTAGCTCCGTTCCCATTGCCCCTTGCAAAGCTTTCCAAAACTTTGCTGTAAATCTTGGATCCCGGTCCGAAATTATCGTGGCTGGAACTCCGTGAAGCTTTACGATTTGATTAATGTAGAGTTCCGCAAGAATCTCCACATTATCTGTATCACGAATCGCTATTAGGTGTGCTACCTTTGTTAAGCGATCCACAATAACCCAGATGGAATTATTGTTTCACCTTTCGCTACTGGTAAACTTCCGACGAAATCCATTGCAATTGAGTCCCATTTCCACTCTGGTATGGGTAAACTTTGCAAAATACCGCTAGGCACTTGATTTTCCGCCTTAATACGCTGACAGACTTGGCATTGAGCTACCCATCTCGCCACTGATCTTTTAATGCCCGGCCAGTGATAATATCGTCGAATGTCCTTATACATCTTAGTGCTTCCTGGACGTATACTTAACACCGACTGATGAGCCGTCCTTAGGATTTCTTCCCTTAGACCATCTCCTGCTGGAACCGTGATTCTACCCCGTAGTAGAAGCGTTCCGTCCTCAGCTAGATGATGCTCACTTATATCTTCTCTTTCTGGATCTCGGAGTCTTTGCATGATCGCTAAAGCAACGAGATCAAGAAATCGTCTATATAAAGTTCGTATGGGCAATAAAACCGATATGTGTCTACATTCATCAACAACAGACGACTCAAGGAGATGGCATGCACGGCTAGGGCACATAAATCTGGAGACAATTAAAACCATGATACAAAGGGAACTGGTTATAGGCATTCCACACATGAACTTCGAGAAGAAAATTTGTGGCTCATGCTTACTTGGGAAGCAAGCTAGACAATGTTTTCCACAAGCTACCTTACATCGAGCAACAAAAATATTGGAACTTGTACACAGCGATCTCTGTGGTCCCATAACTCCACATACAGTCGCTGGGAACAAGTATATTTTTGTTCTTATTGATGATCATTCAAGGTACATGTGGACAATATTACTCAAAGAGAAGAGCGATGCATTTAAAAAATTCAAGAGGTTCAAGAACTTGGTGGAACAAGATTGAGGAGCGAAGATCCAAACTTTCAGAACGGATAGAGGAGGAGAGTTTGTATCAGGAGAGTTCAATTCTTTTTGCGAAGATTCAGGCATAAAACGTCATCTTACGGCTCCATTTACCCCTCAACAGAATGGAGTCGTTGAGAGACGTAACCGAACTTTAATGGAGATGGCGAGGAGCATTCTCAAACATATGCGTGTACCGAACTACTTGTGGGGAGAAGCAATGAGGCATTCCACATATATCTTGAACAGAGTTGCTACAAGAACAATAAAATACATAACGCCATATGAAGCCTTCCATGGAAGGAAGCCCAACATTAGCCACCTTCGAACCTTCGGTTGTATCAGCTACGCGAAAATAGAGACATCACACCTAAGGAAGCTCGACAACAGATCACGAGTACTAGTGCATCTTGGCACCGAACCAGGATCAAAGGCATATAGCCTGTTCGATCCGCAAAATCGAAGGGTGGTAGTAAGCCGCGATGTCGTCTTTGACGAGACCAAGGGATGGAATTGGGCTCATGATACAACGGAAGGAACAGAAGATGGAAGCTTCAGGATTGATCTAGGGAACTTTGGAAACCGTGGAATTCAAAGAACAGAGTACAATGAAACAGAGTACCATGAGAACAAAAACGATAATGAGGAAGTAGGTGATGAAGCTTGTCATAACGATGATTTGAACAGACACGAACCAGAAGAACAAGGCGATGAGGCTGCAGTTCAGGAACAACCGGTTTTGAGAAGATCACAAAGGCAAATTGTGAAACCAAAACATCTGGAGAATTTTGTGTGTCTTGCAGAAGAAGAAGGGGAGTGATTACTTGTTTGCTTGAATAACGAACCAAGAGACTTCTATGAGGCAAAAGAGTCAAACGAATGGATACGTGCCTGCAAAGATGAGATTCATTCGATCACTAAGAATCAAGTATGGGACCCTGTAGATCTTCCTCAAGGAGAAAAACCTATCGGACTCAAATGGGTATTCAAGCTTAAAAGGAACTCTGATGGCAGCATTAATAAACATAAAGTGCGGCTGGTAGCTAAAGGATACGTACAGCGATATGGAGTAGATTTCGACGAGGTGTTTACCTCAGTAGCTCGAATATAAACAATTCGCCTTCTTATCAACCTTGCTGCATCAAACGGTTGGGAGATCCATCATCTTGACATCAAAACAGCGTTTTTGCACGGAGAACTGAAAGAAAAAGTTTATGTCACACAACCTGAAGGTTTTGAAGTGGAAGGATGTAAGAACAAGGTTTACAAGCTCAACAAAGCCTTATACGGATTAAGGCAAACACCAAGGGCCTGGAATGAGAAACTAAACCAGATTCTTAAGGGGTTACAGTTCTTCAAATGCTCGAAAGAACTTTCAGTCTATCGGAAGTTGGTAAAAGGGGAGCTTCTTCTTGTTGCAGTGTATGTGGACGACCTATTTGTCACTGGAACTAATATAAAGGTCATTCATGATTTCAAGAAAGAGATGTCTTCTAAGTTTGAGATGAGTGATCTCGGGAAGCTGACGTATTATCTTGGAATCGAAGTGTGTCAACATGAAGGAGGAGGAATCACCTTGAATCAAAGGCGATATGCACTAAAGATACTAGAAGAAGCAGGACTGAAAGATTGTAATTTGAGTCATATACCGATGGACCCTAGACTTAAATTATCAAAATCTGAAGATGAGAAGGAGATAGATGCTACGAACTACAGAAGGAATGTTGGATGCCTTAGGTGCTTACTACACACACGACCAGACTTGTCATTCTGTGTAGGAGTCCTAAGTCGTTATATGCAGAGTCCTAGGGAATCGCATGGAACAGCAATGAAGCATTGCCTTAGGTATCTACAAGGAACAACTTCATTCGGTTTAACGTTTCCAAGATTGGCTACAAGGACAACAGAACTAATAGGCTACAGCGACAGTAGTTATAATGTTGATCCAGACGACAGCAAAAGCACAACAGGCCACATATTCTACCTTGGTGGAAGTCCAATATCCTGGTGTTCGCAGAAGCAAGAGACTCTCTCTTGTGGCATTGTCGTCATGTGAGGCCGAGTTTATGGCTGGTACAGAAGCAGCAAGACAGGCGATTTGGCTCCAAGACTTACTTCATGAGATCACTGATTCACCTTGCAAGAAGGTACTAATCCGGATTGACAATCAATCTGCCATCGCCCTTACCAAGAATCCTGTCGACGTCTTCCACGGTCGAAGCAAGCACATCCATACTCGCTATCATTTTATAAGAGAATGCGTTGAAAATGAACAAATAGAGGTTGAACATATTCCCGGGAATGAGCAGAAGACAGACATTCTGACAAAGGTTCTTGGAAGGATCAAATTCAAAGAGATGAGAGATTTCATTGGAGTTGAAGATGAGTCTAAAGGTAACTTCAAGCTTAAAGGGGAGAATGTTGATTTAAGCTTGAAGTTAACATTCTAGAAGCTAGGATTTCCTATTAGGATTAGAATTATGTTTAGGAGTTATCTAAACATCTTTAGGAGTTATCTATAGAAAAAGGAAATATATAATCTTATTAGGAAAAGATTTTATTCTATATATAAGGAGATGCAAAAGTGTTGCATAACTTATGAGTTTAAGGTTTTTGAGAGCTTAAGTTTTGAGAGATTTTCTTAAGCAATAAAGAGAGTTATTCTTTATATTGAGTTCTTAATCTATCTTGAGTTCTATAACTTCTATATTTTGACCCGGTTTTGATCACATTGCCCTGGTGTAACTCTGTAATATCATGATTTTTCCTAATAAAAACTTGACAAAACCATAATCGTTTTCTTTCAATATGGTCTGTAGCTAACTCTCTAAAAAAAATAGAGACGTCAAAAGTACTGTAACTACAATGAATTGGGTTACAGAGATAAAATAAGAGGACCCTAACTGAAATCGGAATGTCAGGTTTCTTACATTGTGTCTGGATCTTTTTTTGTTTGTAATATCATTATCGGGCTCACAAGTGACTCCTTTCAGCTCTTTCGTTCTTGGTTATTTAAGCACAACCATTAACCATCATCATTATCACTGTCGTCATTATTATCCTCTAATCAAACATAACCTGGGATTCGATGAACCAGGTGAACCAGAGAAAAGCATATTAACCAATTGTTTCATGAGCACAAAAAGACAAGATAATCTATATGAAACAAAGCACATCCTAAGAAACGCGGCAATACGAGCTAGCTCTTCTTCTCTCTAGATGGATCTTTAAAGTATCTACTCCAAAAAAATCCTCTGAAATATCAAGGAATCTAAATATATGTGCGGAAACTGAATTATGCTAAAGCAGATGCTATAAAGATCAGCTGAATCGGTTATATTTAAGAGTATCTCGAAACTACATGTATCAAATATAGTGGAAGATCATCTTGGTTTGTTTGCTTTCGAGAGTGTAAATAAGATTGTATTGAGTATGGTGGGAAATTGTGTTAGTAAATGGCTCACTCAAACTCATATTTATTGATAAATCACATAGATAATTGGGAGAGTTTCACATTTAACCCATATTTCAAAGTCAAACACCAAACTAACCTCTTTTTTTCTCTCTCCAACTTTTGCCATTTTCTCACAATTTTATCCTTCCCACTTAAACTATTAACGAAAATGCCATTATACATCTATTATTTCGATTTTTCTTTAATTTGGCTAAAGTCTCCTTGGACCTTCTAAACACCTTTTAATTACGAGAATGCCATCTTCTTCAATTTCTTCAACCACCATGAACAACCATGAAAATGGAATAAATGCTTCTCAACTAATTTTAAAGCTGTAATAAGTAAATATTTAAGCTCATTCACTCATAACCTTTCTCATTCTTTCATAATTTCTTCTCCAAAACATCTGGGCTAAGTTACAATGCCAAAAGTCATGTATTTTCGGTGATTTCTGGTTACTTAACATCTGGATTGCTTATTTTTGGTGATATTCTGAGTTCTGGGTGCTTAAAAGAACTGTAGCCGAGCTCAATTTTGTAAAAGGTAATCGTCGCACTTCAGTTTCTCCATATTTCAGTTTTCATATCGCGAAAGTAGACTTCTCGTGAAGTATACTGAAGTCTACTAGTCAACATAAGGTTATTTTTGCAATTGACTTTTTAAAAGTAGACTTCGTTAAACTTCACGAGAAGTCTACTCGACATCCTTTGAAAACAAAAAAAAAGCTTAGTAGACTTCGTTTGAAGGCTCAAGAAGTCTACTAAAGAAAAGAGGTTATTTTTGTAGTTGACCGTATTATGACTTTTTGATTTAGAATTCCGTATGAAGTCTACTGCTTACGTCTGCATACGAAGTCTACTTTAAAGTTACTTTTGTAGTTTGACCAAAAACGTATAAGTCATTTTAGTGTTTGACTTCTGTTTTTCAAAAATTAAAAAATTTAAAAAATCCCAAAAAACTTCAGTAGACTTCCCAAAGAAGTCTACAGTTTATAGACTTCTTTGTGAAGTCTACTTATTTTGTTCGGTCAAACTTAGAAGGAATCCTTTTTTGAGTAGACTTCACAATGAAGTCTACTCAAAAAAATCAATTGCAAAAATAACCTATTTTGTTCCGTAGACTTCTATTTAAAAAGTAGACTTGAAAAGTAGACTGTCAGAGAAGTCTACTCTTACATGAAGTCTACAATAGAAGTCTACTTTGTTAGTCAATGCATCAGTCAAATGCTAAAGTAACCTTTTTTTATTGAAGTCTACTCCTAAAGTCTACTACCCGAAAAGTCAACAGATTGGTCAATTGCAAAAATGACCTTTTTTTTAGTAGACTTCATTAGTAGACTTCTCAATGAAAAAGTAGACTTCTCCTCCAGTCTACATTTGAAGTCTGCTTTAGAAGTCTACTTTTTGAAGTTTTTTTAAAAACGCGTTTTAAGCAAATTTATAAACTATTTTTCAAAATTTTTGGTTTAGAATTGCTTCTTAGTAAGTGATTGAACTACCCATTGAATTTTATTTCATTTCATTGGATATTTATTGTTGAATCACAAGTTTCGATTTTTTAGGTACTTAGCTTATCAAAGTAGACTTCTCCACCAGTCTACATTCGAAGTCTGCTTTAGAAGTCTACTTTTGACGTTTTTTTTAAAACGCGTTTTAAGCAAATTTATAAATTATTTTTCAAATTTTTTGGTTTAGAATTGCTTTTTAGTAAGTGATTGAACTACCCAGTGAATTTTATTTCATTTCATTGGATATTTATTGTTGAATCAGAAGTTTCGATTTTTTATGTACTTAGTTTATCAAAGTAGACTTCGTCGTGTAGTCTACTAATGTTCTTTTTGTGGCTTTAGATATAATATGTTGTCTTAGGTGATAAAAATACATAACATGACCAATACACTTATGTTCATTACAAATGATGACCAATAGATACCATTACACTTGATGATCATTATCCAAAAAAAAACACGAAGTCCTAAACCCAGAATTTTTAGTATTGTTTTGATTCAAAGGTTCCTTTGAAATCATTAAATTTCTGGTACATTGTTATCTTCTGCTTAATGACAATAACAAAAAAAACAAGACATCTGTATAAAATAGTATATCACCATATATACAAATCGAGTTCATGATCATTATAATTGATGACCACAAAATTAAGATGATATAAACCTCACAAAATAAAAAAAAATGAGACATAACTTCTCCTTTTCTATAATCACAAAATGAAAAAAAAAAATGAGTAGATTACAAAATAGATCTCAAATTCACATTACATAAGCCTCCCAAAATTTTCCAAACCAAAAACATCAATTAGAATGAAAAACAATCACACTAGTCTCCCATTTTCTGGTGTTGTTCTTGGTGGATGTGAAGAGGAATACTGACGAATAAGCAGAGTTTGTTCGTACATCGCCTTTCATTACACAGATGTCAGATCTCAATCCGGTTCTGTCACAGCAAATGGTTCCTACACACAGATTTGAAAAATCGGTAACCGTAAGTTTGTGGAAGTTTTCATAGATTACACAAAGTTTTAGTTTCTAGTTTCTAAATTAAGACAACAGAAAAAGAGCTGTTCTGTTTCTTGATTCTTTTAACAAAAGAAAAGGAGAAACTTTTTCTGGCTATTCGTAAACAAACAATTTCGGATTGAATTTGGAAAAGAACCTAAAATACTAACCAGTGGAGTTATCTGAGCAGAGAGGTGCAGTGGATGGCTCGTAAGGACTAAGAGCTTCGCTTTCTCTGCTAAACGAATCTGCGGAAGAGGAAAAAGAGAAGGATGATTGATAAAATAGAAATACAAACTCTAAAAAGCAAAAAAAAGACGAAGATAGTTGTGTGTGAGAGAGAGAGAGAGAGATGATAATCATACCTCTAAACCTCTCTTCTTTTCTTCCATGGTGGATGATTAATCTCTGATACTGAACCATCTTCTCGGGGAAGTACAAAGTCAGGGAAAAAGCAAAAACCCAGAACCCAAGTTTTGATTTTGACGAAGGGTTTGATCAATTTGGTGTTGATTCAGAAAAACGCAATGGAAGGAGACGATTTGTCGCTAGTAACCCAACTCACTCGCATGTGTTTATCTCCACCCAATGAGATATGAACCTGCAAGTATGAATCTTTCTCAGTGTAAGAATTATGACCAAAACTGATTTAAAAACAGAGCTAATGATGTTCAACATCAATTGTATCATGCGCTACGTATCTGTAATTTTCTCTCAAACATCAAATTTTTTTTCTTCAGATTGAAACAGCCGATATAAAAATCCCTCTCAAGTGTAGTAAGAAATCAATTAGGAAAAGGCATTTTCGTCGAAGTATAAGTCACAGAGTAGTAAAGATTAAAAAAGGATTTCATGAATAAGCAGGACACAAGCAAATGGGATTATCTCTGGAGTAAGTATTAACCCAAAATCGGATTTTGCGGAGAAAACAAACTGAGACCCACATGCAGTAAAGAGAATAGACGAAGATCAGAACAAAATAAGCATGGGTTTTACGGAAATGGATCAAATCAGAAGAACCCGAGACACAGAAGAAGATAAGAAAACAGAGGAACCATACGGAGCCTAGTGTTACCTGTTCGGGTTGAGAAAGGGACTTTTGTTTCCATGGAAACTGCACGGCTTGACGAGGTTTTGGTCGGACGTAATCATCTGCCAGAAGTGCACCGGTTTGAGCTGCCGTTCTTCCAAGTCGCTGACAATCATTTAAAATTGGTAACCTCATGTATCAGCTCAAATCAACTACAAACCCAGATTTCAGAGAATCTTAATTTCAATTTGATTTTTAATACATCGCCAAACAAACAGATAGATGTTTTTTTTGAATCATTTTATACTATTGTAAAGTTTTATAAATGCAAAGAAAAAGAGATTTAAAGAATGATTTTTTATATTACCTGAGCGGCGAAAACAGCGGTGGTGGTCTTGCTGGAGTCACCAGACACCAGATCTTTGAGCTTTGAAAACAATGGTGAGAAAGGGGATGGAGGCTAGAGGAAAGCGCCGTATTAGAGAGTTTCTTTTGGATAAAATTAGGGTTTTATTAGAATTTGTTGGTTTATATAGTAGGATAAAATTTCCGGTTAAAATAGTTATTTTTTTTTCAATTTTGGTTTAATTTCGGTTTAAATTTTGATTAAGTTAATTTATTCGGTTTAGCAGACTTCAATATAGAGTCTACAAAATTTAAAATCTAAATAATAGATTTTCTTCTTCTTAATTTAAAAACATAAATTTCCATTTATCAATATGAAAAAATAATTTATGTACATTTGGATTATAATTACGGAATTTATGAATGTAATTTTGATATCAAAATAATTTTTTCTAAATTTTAAAATTAAATTTCCTGATTTAATTACTTAGTAGACTTCATTTCGATAAACGAAGTCTACTATTAGACTTCTTTCTCTCTAATAGTAGACTTCGTCAGGATGTAAACGGTAATTATGATGTCCGTTTTTTGTTTAGTCATACAGGATTAAATGATCTTTTCACTACCCCTTTAGGTTATTTCTGTCAAATATTTTTTCAGAAGTCTACTTTTATATTCAAAATCAAGTTTTATGTTATTTTTAGCAAAAATCCCTAGATAATTTGTGATCATATACTGATTTTAGATTTTGATCCATTCAGAATTATGGTTTAGGATAAATTAATATAAAGCTGATAATTTATTGTTTGATTCTAACGTCTGAACAGTTGTAGCCCTAAACCCTACGGCGTAGGCTCGTTAGTTAGTATATATATATATATATATATATATATATATATATATATATATATATATATATATATATATATATATATATATATTGATTCCGAAATTACCAATCCTGAAATTTTTATTGAAAATGGGATTTTCTTTAATCGAAAACGTCAAAAGTAACATCAAGAAACAAAGGAGTTAACTGATGTGTGATCAGTATAAATTCTACTTATTACGATATCATATCACATTTTGTCAACTACAAGATTTGTCGGCACCAAGATATCGTAAATCACCTCGGATAAGATACGCTTATAAGACAAATCATAATGAAATTTTGATTATGATATTTTACTTTGTCATGTTACATATATATTAGCTGCACGTTAATGTAATCGAGATTCGCGACCCAAAAATAAAAGAATAATTTATTGTTCAAAGATTTCTCTCTCAAAGATTGAAAAAAGGACTATAAATTAGACGTCTCACTCTCTGAGTTTTACGTCTTGGTCTCATTTACGAGTTTCTTTCTTCCCATTTTTTTTTTCAGAATTTATACATGACGTCATCCATGTCTAGAACTCCTTGCAAGATCCCTGCAATGAAAGGTTTTGAGCAGAAGAGCTACGTGGGCCTTAAAGCGGCGTTGTATAACGTGAGAACCTATCCTTTCGGAAGCACAGAAGTTGCTTGCAGAGCTGTGCTTATAGTATATTGCAAAAGGCATTTGCCTCAAGTCCTCAGACAATATAATTAATTTTAGGGCCCCTAAATACATAATATCTTTCATGTTGTAGTGGTTAATGTCTCCTCTTAGGTTTATATGCATCTGAGTTCAGCTATTCAAACCTCACTTATGTTTACAATAACTACTTTTTTTTATTAACTTTATATTCTAACTAAAATTTGAATGATTTTTATAATTGTTTTTTAGAGCTGCTTTCTATTTTAATTTTTCTATGCTATAAGTTTAATTATTTCTTTAGTTTTTAAAAATTTATTATTTGTAGAAAAAAAGATATATAACATTTATGTAAAATATTTTTCAAAAACTTAGAATTTATGTATAGATTTATATATATTTTATATCATTATTGTTACAACATTATAATATATGTATTTTTAAAATTTGCCTTAGGTCTCTAATGGTCTTCGCACGATACTGGTTGCTTGTCAACTGCAAAGGAGCGACTCTGCAATTCTATCATCAATAAATGCTCGTGAGGTGTTTCTAGTGCCGAGTAAACCAGCCGTGCCTCCAATGCCGAGTAAAACAGCCAAGCCTGTGATTGATCAGCCTCTTGTAAGTAACAACTTTGTTTCCTTACGCTCAACGGGTGGACTACTTGACCATTGAAATAGAAGCTTCCGTCAGAAATGGCCTTGTTTTTTCTTGTAGTTAAGTGTCTTTAAAGTTCCTAGTCCAAACATTTGCAATAGAGATAGACTAAAATATCCAATTAAACATGCTATGATTTCAGGTCTGAGAAGACTATAAGTTTTGGTCCATAACTCCTTAGATAACCGAAAACAAAAGAAGAATTTTTTTTTTTTGCTTTTGAAAGTTCTTTTGTTCTTCACAATCTAATGCGTGTTAAGTTTTTATCAGCAGATAAGCCGACGTGCACGTCGTAACCGCAAGTCCCCTACTCAGAGAGCTGCCTTTCAAGAAACTAATATCTCTCCCGAAAATTTAATATACCCACTCTTTATTCATCAAGGTTAGTTTGACTTTTTGGTTCAGGAATTAACCTGGTTATAAAAAAATTATTAACAGTTTTCGTGCAATAACATCTCTTTTCTTTTTTACGTGACTATATATATTGGAGTCTCGTAGGTGAGGTAGACATTCCGATAAAAACGATGCCCGGACGTTACATGCTTGGATGGAGACACGGCCTCATCGAAGAAGTGAGTGTTGTGTTTTAAAAAACTAAGAGACTAGATAATTGATGTCTTCTGACTTAACTTGCAAATCATTTTCTTCACGATTGTTATATCAAACCAATCTCTATTGTGTTTTCGGAGGAATGTAGGTTGCAAGGGCACGAGATGTTGGTGTGAATAGCATAGTGTTGTATCCTAAAGTGCCTGATGCGTTAAAGGTTTCATCATTTCCTTCTTATATACAATTTTGAACTCACATGAAGTACCCATGCATCAATAATCAACTTTTCCTTTTTAAGTCTCCAACAGGGGAAGAGGCTTTCAATGACAACGGTCTAGTGCAACGAACAGTTCGTCTTCTCAAAGACAAATTCCCTGATCTCGTAAGATATATATACACTCTTTGCTTATCTAGCTAAAGGAAGTGATCCTGAACATGATAATGACTATTTTCTTTCTAAAATTGACAAGGTTATCTACACTGATGTCAATTTTGATGAATACTCATTAAGTGGGCACGGTGGGATCATAAGAGAAGATGGTAAGAAATGAATTTCTTACAAAATATTATAGATACTTTCGTAGTGATTTCTGACATATAGATCCATCTATGTTCTTATAGGCGTGATATTAAATGATGAAACAATTCACCAATTGCGCAAACAAGCAATTTCTCAGGTAAAAAGTAAAACCCTTTCGTACTAAAAGAAACAAAAGATTTAACATCCTCATAAGAAGAATGGATGCAGGCTCGAGCTGGAGCAGATGTTGTTTGTACCAGTGAGATGTTGGATGGTCGTGTTGGCGCCGTTCGTGCAGCTCTAGATGCTGAGGGCTTTCACCATGTTTCTATCATGTCTTACTCTGTGAAGTAAAATATTATACTTAATATCTCATCTTGCTTTATTTTCTTTTAAATCCAACCTTGTTCATCGTAATCACTCTACCAACAGGTATACAAGTTCACTATACGGCCGTTTCCGCAAAGTGGAATTGGACAAAAAAACGTAAACCAACCACTCTAGTCTTGATTTTTTGTTTACTTTTTGCATGTGGCATGGTACAATATAATACAAAGTATTTCTTTCTAATAAATTAACTCATAATCTTTTATCATTTTATAGACAACCTTTTTGTCAATTATATGAGAAGAAGAGACATTCTTTGTATTTAGTATTTTCGTTTACACTATGCAATTAAATTTCATAAAAAAAATGTTTTTAAATAGTTGATGTTTTTTAGTAATTTTTTTTTTCAAACCATTTGATGGTCGTTTTGTAATTTTTTTGGGATTGTTTTAACCTTGGTTGAATTACATTTAGATAGATAATAAATAATATTATTATTTAGCTTCTAAATAATAATATATTTTCTTAATATATGTACAAAACCCTTCAACATCACTAATTTTGAAACAGATTGATTAATAAGAGAAATTATTATAAAGAAATAAATTGGCGTTCAAAACCACACCAACCTAAACAAATAATAACTGTATATAACTATAAGCTTTCTTGCCATTCTAAAAAAATTGTTTGGTGTAAAATGTCGTATAAATAAAAGTTACCAGATAAACCCGGCAAATTCAAGAGAGGCATTGATCGAAGCACAAGAAGACGAAGCTGAAGGAGCTGATATTCTAATGGTGAAGCCAGCAGTTCCTTCTCTCGATATCATACGCTTACTGAAGGACCAGACACTATTGCCCGTTGGAGCATGTCAAGTTTCCGGTGAGTACTCCATGATCAAAGCCGCGGGACTTCTCAAGATGATCGACGAGGAAAAGGTTATGATGGAGTCATTGATCTGCCTACGCCGAGCTGGTGCAGATCTCATTCTTACCTACTTTGCTCTTCAAGCTGCTACAGTATTATGCGGCGAGCATAGAAAATTTGTGTTTGATTGATTGTGTTTGTTTGCGTTTGCGTTCGTTTTATGTTTACAGTGCAGTTGCACTAATTTCTATGAATAAAACCACAACCAGAACTGTACACTTTTTAGCAGAAGAAAAATTATAAGAAAAAAATCAGTTTTTCAACTCTGAATTTCTTAGGAAAAACTTTTAGACATATACGTACGCAAACGCAGAAATTGATTCTTTCACAAAGAATCTACACTTTTATATTATGAAAATTTTCATGTATCTTTACCTCATATTCTTTATCAAATTAAAATAAAAATCTTTACTATATTCCGTAAATAGTCCAATTCCAACCAAGAAACTCTTTATCATCATTTTTCTATTATTTTTAATGTCAGTCTGGCAACATATGCATGCTTGCCCTTTAACACACACAAAAAAAAAAACATGTGTATGCTTGCGAGCTGTGTTGTATTTTGATTTCGATTATTTTTTCTAAATTAATTTTCTTCCGTAAGACATTAAAATTTTCAGCCATTTCAACCCTACAACGATCTTCATTTGACGCTACTTACTACTCCTTTTGTTTCAAATATAAGATTAACAAATTTTGTGCTTTAAAAAAGTAATATTTAAATTAAAATAAATTAACCAATCAATAAAGAGAGAGAGATTGCATGGAAAACTCTTGTTTCGGTGATTCATTAAATTACTATTGAAGTTAAAATATATTTCACTCGACGAACCAGAGTTGGATATAGTTTTGTTTGATGCAACTAATAAATAATAAAACCGTTCTAAATTTTGACTTTGAATGTTATGAGTTTTGATCTTTAATGGAAATATTGAATATTTATATACTGGATTTGTGTTGAATTAATATTTTATGTATTTTTGAATGTAGATTTTTAGAGTTTTATCACATATATTATATCATATACATGTATATAGAATATACACGTTTCTAAAACGTAATTCCGTACTTATATTTTTTCACAGGAAAGGGTTCCTACGTTTTGAAACATTTTGTTTTCGTGTAACTACTTCTTTTCCATGCAACTTACTTAAAGAGAAAAAAAATAGTGTCGAGAGGTCGATTATAGTCTTTTTGTTTCTTGTTCGTGTCCTTGTCTTATCACTGAAATCATGTTTAATATTACCATTAATCTGTCTAATCTGCAATAAATAATCTTCTGTTACGTTCAAGCACCATAATTCACCAGTTTGAATAAGTGTTCGATTTCGTAGATATTGATCAACGGTTCTGCCTTTCATGTCATTTGACCGTAGATTTTCATTTCGGTTGGCCTTTACTCGTCACCTCGTTTGCTCACTTGATTCTGTCTGGTCTTTAACTCCGTTAAACTTCTTACCATCAGTATAATGGATACATCTTTAGGGATTTTAACCATACGATAAAGCAGAAAAATATTTTTTATCTCACTTGCAAGCTAAGAATTAAATATGAACGTTGAATTGCCAAGATAAATCTTAAATGAAATCCTTAAACTGCTACAAACTCGTACGTGGCGAAAAAAGAGAAACGGTACTTTATAGTTTATTACTTTTTTCCTTAACAAGTACCCAGAAACTAATATCACACGCAGCCCAAGAAATTATTGACCTAAAATTTTTTAATCTTTCTCGTTTGAGTGATATTCAAATTTCTTGGACTTTGTGTATTGCCAACTCTTCAATTATCTTCAGTTAACGTTAATGTTCATTGTATCATTCACAAGCTAAGAATCACATATATGAATCTTCTGTTGTGAATATCATAAATCTTATTAATCACAGTGAGTTTAAGTTACCAGTTTCGTAGCAAATACTCAACGTCTAATATCTCATAACAAAATTGACCGAAATGCATAACACTAATAAAGATCACGACATTATATATATACTGTTTACACGTTTAAAAGAAAGAAAAACAAAAAAGCCTAATTTTCACAAACATATTCGAAAGCAAAGATGGATTAATAATATATGTAATATCTAAATCAAAAGCACCCGAAAATGTTTTGGGATGATTGTCTTTATTCTTATGAACATTTCTCATTTAAGTATCTCTCGGCCACGGCCGCGTGAACTGCAGCGCCAACCGGTAAACTGCCTTCATCGATCATGAAATGTGGTGAATGACCAATGTGGACTGATCCGAGCTCTTCATTTCTTATGCCAATGAAGTAGAATGTGGCCGGGATGATCTCTGAGTAGAAGGCGAAATCTTCAGCGCCCATCACCTGTGGAGCTATAGCAAAGTGGTTATCACCGAGCAAATCAACGGTAACTTTCTTTAAGTGTTTGTACATTGCGTCGTGGTTTGTGGTTGGCGGGTAGATCGCGTTCTGCTTCTCAAAGAAGTTCACTGTAGCTGTGCAACCCAATACCTCAACCTGTTCCACTAGTACCTGCCGTTACAAAAATGTATGTTTTTTTTAATATGGTTACACAATACCGGTAGGAATAGGCAAAATATCCATAGTATCGATCCTAATTCGATCCAACATATTTAAAAACCTTTGCCAAAAAAAACATATTTAAAAACCCGTAAATTTACATACACAAGAAATACTGAATATTAGTTTTCGTGAAGCATAAAAATGACTAAATTTGAAAATATGAACATTTTCTTCCATCTGGACATACTAATATGAATATGTATGTACAGTTTAACAAACATATTTTACATATGTACAATGCATGTTTAATTATCATTCCCCTATTCATATAAATTTGATTAATCAAATTAATTATAAAATTTTAAAAGTGAAGACTAAGAGCGTAAATTTTAAGGCCAGGCTAATTAAGCGTATCACAACTCTAACATTTTTGTAGTTGAGTTTAATATTTATATTTGGTTTGGGCTGGTCAGTTTGGTTTGCATGCCATTGTAAATTTTCTAGGGCCTTGTTTCTAAACCGGCCATGTTAGAATTATGTTGGGGACTTTTGATTCCTTGGTTTTGGACCGGATCCAGTTTATGCAATTCAGAAGAAAAAAATTAGTCGAAAAACCAAAATCATAAAGTAGTTAGACGATACGCACCTCTCGAATACGCTTCATAAGGTAGTAGAAGCTTGAGTTAGAAAAAGCTCTAAAAGTGCCTCCGAGAACCACCGTGTCCGGCGCCACATCTAGACTGTGACCGCCTTGAAATGAAGTTACCGACACAACCTAAAATTCGAGAAAATGCAAATCAGAATTCAGTTTTGCATAATTTAAAATATCTGACGGTGGATTTTTTTTTTTTGATAAACTCACGGTGGATTTTGAGAATCACCTGAGCATCAAGTGGACTAGCTTCACGGGATACAATTCCTTGGAGGCTTATGACCGCGGAAGAAGCTGCAAGAATAAGATCAGCGGAGCCGCCGCTCTCCTCCAGATTGATGACCGCCCGGAAAATTCCACATCCGGCGAGCAGAGGACCACTCCTAGACCCAATCACACCCGTTGGATGATCGTGGGAAACATGGACGGCGAAGATAGCCTCCACATCATCCAAAGCTCCGTCTTCGATCATCTTTTTCGCGCCGTTTCCAGCTTCTTCTGCCGGTTGGAATAACAGAACCACGGTTCCCTGTAAAACTCGAGACAAAACAATTATTACATTAGAGAAGAATATTCTCAAGTGTAGTTTTTAAGTATGTTTTTATTGATTAGATGATGTAACAAATGTATAATCATCACTGATTAAGTTGGTTTGTGACAAAAAATGAAAATAAAAAGAATTATAAATTTACAATATTACGAATGAGTTAATGGATATGCAGTAGAGCAAATCATTAATTCACATTATTTGTCATCATTCCAAAAATGGGACTGACCCACCAAGAAACAAAAATTTAAACTCTTACCTAGAAGTCGAAAAGACGTAAACGACTTTTAAGTAACCAATTAAACCAAAAACATATAAATTGAGTTACTAATTTTTATAAACATGAAACAATTGTTATAGAAAGAGTTTCATTAAGTACCTTGAGAAGATGTTCACGAGACTTAAGAATATGGGCAGCACCAAGAAGCATAGTGACATGTGCATCATGACCACAAGCATGCATTTTGCCAGCAACTTTGCTTTTGTGTTTCCATTCCACCAATTCCTATTTTACATGACCACATACATTGATATTATGTTAAAATAACTAATTATAAGAAATCTCTATGTATGCCTTATCTATAACCATTTCACATCAACCACAAAACACAATCTATCATTATCATCATATCTGGTCTATCATGTGAGTTGTGACACAATCTCTCTGTCAGCGAGTAACAATATAAAAAGTATACGACATTTCCTAAAATGGAAAATTTTACGCCAATATTATTTCATTACATATATATATATATTTGTTTCTGCATTATTTCTCACTCTTTGACCTCCGAAAATTCCTCTCAGCTGGGAATCTTTCTTTCCTTAGATGAACCATAAAAAATCATATACAAAGTCTTATTGTTTCACACACACAGACAAGACCATGATTTGTTTTCTTTTTGGATAGTTAACCAAAGCATGTCATTCATTTTTCTAGACGTGAATTTTCAAAATAACTTAACGTTTTTACGTTTTAAAAACATGATTCCACTATATTTTACCATTCATAATATTCATTAAATATTTATTTTTTTGAAAAAGTGACTCCAACTAGATGCTGAAAATATAACTTGAAAAAAAAACGTCAATAATCTACTACATTATATTTTCAACATTTATAAATATTCTATAGAAATGATCCAGTTCAGTTATTTTCGGTAATAGTTATTCAATTATTCTTCTATTTAGTTAACATAGTAGCATATAAGTTTCACGTTTTATAATGTCTCATGTTATCGACCCATTAATCAAAAAAAATTACCTGCGTTAAAACGTTCAGAATTTTTACGAAATTACCACTAGTGTCTTTTCTACAAATAATTATGATCAATTGATCCCAAGTTTATATGATTTCTTTGTTGTCATTATCCCCTTTACTTTTCTTTATTTCTTATAGCATTATCCACCCCCCCCCCCCCACCATTTTAGTTATTTAGAAAATTCAGATATATACTGTAGTAGTTTTTATATTCATATATCCAATATATCCAAATAATTGTAAACACTTGTGAAATATAATAATAAAAACATAACTTGTTTTGCTTCAACAGAATATATATATAGATATTTTTTTCTTATTGTTTTGTCGTTTCAAGAGAATGTTTACCTGAATAGGAAGTGCGTCCATATCAGCCCGAACAGCAACAAAAGGCGGGCCACCGGATCCAATCCAAGCCCGAATACCCGTTTTAGCTAACGGATACCTATACTGGATACCCAAACGATCCAGCTCGGTCCGAACAAGCCTACTCGTCTCGTACTCCTCAAACGCAAGCTCTGGGTTTTCATGGATCGTCCTCCTCACGCGTTTGAGCCACGCCACGTTCTCTGGCTCGTAAGCCAGCCGGAGAATCTCTTCCGAACATGCTTGGGTCCAGACCCGGCACTCATCTGACCCGACCCGACTTGGTAGACCCGATGACTGGTTCTTGGTCGGTGTCGACCGTAGTAAAATGTTGTTGTTAGGATATTTCACTTCTAGGAAGGGTAATTCGGTGGCGAAAGTGAGAGAGAGGTTGATTATGGTTAGAGAGATAGAGAGAAGGTTGAGTTTTTGGAAATTGTCCATAACTTGTTGTTCTGCTTTGAGAGAAAGAGAGAGGAAACTAAGAGAAGAGAAGAAGAGGGATTTGGACATGTGGGGAAAAAAGGGGAGAGTCGGAGAGAGAGAGAGAGAGATTTTGGCATGTGGGAAAAAAAGAGGTAAGAGAGAAATTGGGCACGTGGGTTAATCAAGCGTCGAATCGTAACGGATGGGGACCCATTATTTTTCTTACGGAGAATTCGTAGGCTTTCACCGACTCATTTGACACGCCTCTTTGATCTCATTTCATCTTTTTGTTTTGCTTTTGGACGGTGATTTAAGTAGTGGGTACTAATCAGAAATTTTTGGGATAGATTTTTTTTTTTTGCTAACGGCATTCAATTTAATTGCATGAGAAAGAAAGAGTTATAGGAGGACTAACAGTTAAAGGTTTAAAAGGATTCGAGACCCAAAATAAAAGAAACCATTTAGAGCATCTCCAATGGTTTTTTTCATTTTTTCCTTCGTTTTTTAAGAAACTTTATTTTTGAAGAAAAAAATGAAAAAACCATTGGAGCAAATTTTTCTTTTTTTTTCTTCAAAAAGAATATTCTAAGTATATTCTATCTCTATTTTATTATTAATTGCTAACAAGATCCTTTATTTTTATGTTTTATAAACTTTCACCTATTTATTTAATTCATAAAAATTCTACAACAAAATTTAATAATTTTAATAGATTTGGAAGTGATTTTCCAGATTATTAAGTTGTTAGTTTATGTTATGTTAAGTTTTATTATTTATAATTTACATTTGAATTATGTATTTTTAATTTTGTTGTTGACTATATTATTGTATTTTTTAATTAATATATGTTATTGTATTTTTTATTGTGTTTATTTTAGTTTTACTTTATAATTTGATTAGTTAAGTTTATTGTTCTAAAATTAATTGGGTTAAAAAAGCATAGAAATTGTATTTGGGTATAAATCAAAACATAGAAAAAGTTAAAGATACATTTTGTAAATAAAAAAGTTCACCTTCAAAAAATGAAGAAATGAAAGTGTTCCTTCATATTTGAAGGAACACTGTTCATTTCTTCATTTTGAAGGTGAAATTGAAGCACCATTGGAGAAGATTTCTTCATTTTTATCTTAAAAATGAAGGAAAAAAGTGAAATTTGAAGAACCATTGGAGATGCTTTTAAAAACCCACAAAAAAGATAACCAAAACCAAAAGAAACATCGTCGGTTTAGAACGGGATGAGACATAATTAAATAGGATACAGTAAAATCTCTATAAATTAATAATGTTGGGACTGCAATATCTAAGCAAAGTAAAATTTTGATTTCTAACTCTCTAATTGATTCTGGAGGTGGTTAATTATTATCTTGTCCCTAACTAAAAAAATTAATATTTACCTTTAACTTGGTTCAAATTAAGTTTAACTTAAATTTATTATTAATTTTTTGGTTATTAGTTTTCTATTCGGTTCAAATTAAATTTAGTTAAAATTTAATAATATTAGTAATATATTTTTACTTTTAAATTAAATATGTTTTTTAAATAAAAAAATCGACTATAGTTTTTTAAAATACACCATTTTTAATGAAAAAATTATTAATTTCTTAATATATATATATATATATATTTTTTAAAAATATTATTTATATTATTTTCTTAATATATTTTTTAAAAACGACACTATATACCTCAATCATTTTTTAATTTAAAAAACTATTACTTTCTTAATCTATTTTTTTTAAAACAATCATAGTTTTCTATAAATCTCAATTATTGTTTTAATTTAAAAAAACCCACAAAATCGAAAATTTAGGAGTACCACAAACAAAAAAAACCTCCCATTTTTTAATGAAAAAGTTATTAGTTTCTTAATATATATATATTTTTAAAGGACCATTATTTTCTATTATTTTCTTAATATATTTTTAAAAAACGATAATTATTTTCTATATACCTCAATCATTGTTTTAATTAAAAGAACTATTACTTTACTCTTACTTTATTAATCTATTTTTTTTCAAAAAAAAACGACCATAGTTTTCTATACAGTAGAAACTCTATAAATTAATATTTGATAAATTAATAAACTCTATAAATAAATAATTTTTTATGGTCTCGAGTTGGGCCGGTTACACAATTCGATAAGATAATACGATAATAATTTTCACAAAATTTCTATGTAAATATATGGTCTCATAAATATCATAAATTGATAATTAACATAAATAAAATATAATATAAATATAGAAGTAAGATAATCTATTAAAATATGAGTTAAGTAAAGTTTTTTATTTATTTTAAATTAAAAAATTGAACGCATCTTTAATTTTAGAAAGAATCTTTTAAAGTCTAGAATCTATAAAAATAAAATTCTATTAAAATTAATAATTTTTTTTTAAATCTACAAATTAATCACTCTATATATTAATAAAACATCAAAGTTCCAATATTATTAATTTATAGAATTTTTACTGTACATCTCAATTATTGTTTTAATTTAAAAAAACCCTAAAATTTTCCATTCACTCACCTCATCTTATTTAAATATATACATGCTAACAATTATTATCCTTACAAATATCGTTTATGCTTTTTATTTTATTGAGTATAAATACGTATAGAACAAAACATGGTCAAAATAAAGCTATACGTCTTTAGGTTTGCCTCGGAAATACGGTATAAATATTTCACTGATCAATAATATTCTTCTGTTATTATGTTCTTATTATGTCTTTGGTTTTCTAAACCAAATACCTTAGCTTGATTTGGCTAAACACGTTTCCGCTTCCTTTCTCATTGTTTTTGCAATTGAATATGATGCCAAAAGGTATAGTTTTCTTTTACCTTTATCTTTGATTCTGTTCCGTGCTATTAATCATAATTGAAATCCATTAAATATGTGTTCTTTCATAATTATAGGGTTCTGGTTATTTGCCGGTGCATCTTCCTTTACCACAAAATCCCATCTATGATGATGTCAACGTGTCTGACTCGAAGAACAAAAGAAAATTTATAGCTTGGATGGAATGCAATCGACTTAATCCAGAGGCAAGGACATTGTTATATTCCAACATCCCTTCTAGATGGGTATGGAATCCGAAGCGATGGGAATGGATACTCGGTTCACAGGTTCTCCGAGTTCGGGTGTGCTAGAGGATTGTCCACTTAATTCTGGTGAACTCATTATCTGCGCCTTCTATTGCTTGTGAGGAGAGATCCGTGTTATTTTTCGGATATTAAAAACTGTTGATGGTGTTCTTCATTCTACGTTCAAGAGGGCATGCTACGCTATGAAGATCTTGACTTCTGGGATCACCCGATGTGTTGTGGAGTCTTGTCCAAGAGAGGTTGATCTTTTGAGATTTCTATTGGATTATGCTAGAGATCCATGCACCTTTGCGGATATTAGGACGGTATTTAGGAATGAAGCAAAGTGGAATCTACATATAGCATGTATTTTTAATCTGTTTGTATTTGTCGTGAGTTTTAGTGGATGTGTTAATTATATGTAAAAATTTCTTGTCTATAATGAGTTTGTTGTTGTTTTATTTTTAGCATTTTTCTTATCGTGCATATAAGACATATTCTTTGTGCATATATTATAATATAACATCTCATAAGACTCATATTCTTTGTGCATATATTAGTCCACAATATCCAAGAAACGTCCAAGAAATCTCATAAGTCGAATATATTAGTCTACAATCTCATAAGAAAAGGATATAAATGTCCAAGAACTCCTTCAATAACCAATGAATCTACAAGAAACATAAAAAAAATCTATGGTGATGAGGGCGATTTTTTTGGCGATTATTCGGTTTCTCTTTGAAGAAACGGTTTCCATCAATTCTGATGTCGTGGTGAGACGGCTTCACGGCGGTTTTGTCTCGACATCCTCCATCTCCATAGTGGACATCGTGGGACACTATGATGAATCTTCGGTGTACAACCGTCGATACTCATTTCTCTATAAATCCAGAGAGAGTATTCAACAGATTCATCATATCTTCTCCAAATCTCTCTCTATTCTCACTTGCTTTCGATTCTATCAAACTTTGTTCATCATGGCTGAAAATTTACGCAGGGCAATTCAGGAAATCAATTTGGGGGTCACTGACGCACCAGTAGCCCTTCCGGTTGAGGTGTGTGCAGCGGCGGTACGAGCGAATCAATTCTCTCTTATGGGAAGGCCAATGGTTCCAAGGAGACAAAACCTTCGAGCAATTGTGGCAACATTACCGAGAAATTGGGGTTTGACGGGAACCATATCCGGTCGTGTGGTGGACAGAAGGAAGTTCCAATTTGTCTTTCCGACTGAAGATCTGATGGAATCAGTGTTAAATCGGGGTCCTTGGGCCTTCAACGATAGGATGCTCATCCTGCAACGCTGGAGTCCTGAAATGAATGACTTGGATTTGAACCACATTTCTTTCTGGGTTCAAATTCGCGGGATACCTATCCAATTTCTCACAGAGCCGGTGATTCGACACATTGGAGATATCATGGGCGAGGTGGAAGCGGTTGATTTCAATCCAGATGCTGCGGCAATGGTGGAATTTGTAAGAGTGAAAACCCGATGGAATGTGGATCTCCCACTCCGGTTCCAGAAGAATTTTCAATTCTCCCCTGGAGTCAATACCCTCTTGAAGTTCAGATATGAACGTCTACGAGGGTTTTGCCAAGTGTGTGGAATGTTATCTCATGATACTGGAGATTGCATCGTTCAACAAATGCCACATAATGAAGGAAACAATGAAGACAACAATGATGATGAGCTGGTTGATGATGATGCTGATGCTGCGGAAATGGTGCCTGAGGAACCACCTCAAAACAATGAAGACATGGAGCACGAGCAAGACGACAATCTAAATGAGCATATGGAGGTCCAGCAAGAGGATGGCAATGATCAGACAGAAGATGAACCTCAGGAATTTCTTGATGAAGATGGTGAACCGATCTTCTTTGAAGACTATGAAAGACCAATGGTTAAAAAGTACGGCCCAGCAGAAGTTCTCCGTCGACGAAGATTTGTGGAAAACCTGCTCATGGGATGTGAGGAAGATACCCAACTCGATCCTCCAGATGAAGGGTTAGCAGCAA